AAGCATCATATGGCAGAATATTTTACTCAAAACAAAAACTTGAGCAGCAACAAAATTGCAAGGTTACATGGACTAGGATCTTTTTGACCAAATGTTGCATAGTACCAGCAAATGCATTTTAACATGGCTCCGACCTGTCACTCCGTTGTAGGTTTAACACAAGTTTGACGCTGACAAGTAGAGATTAGTTTTTCTTTCTGAATACACTATATAATCTCAAAGGAGCTTGGAACTTGTTTTTGAGATGATAAATTCCTCAAAAGCAAAGAGAATACGAGTATTAAATCATTTCAGGCTTGGGCATTAAACTATGCAAGTTCCAGAATACGGGCACCTAAGAGGTAATCTATCAAAGAATTGCAAAGAATTAGAGACTTTTCTTCTGTCAAATTTTAAAGCTATATTGCTTCTGGGTCCGCTAAAATTAGACTAAGCTTCTAATTCTAATACAATCAATATTCTTTCAGATTAGTGAGCTTGTTATCAGGATATTGCTTGCAGAAGCTTCTAGCAAACTACAGAAACATGAGGGCCAATGGAACTGGTCACAAATTACTTTAAAATGCTTTGCTTATAACTTCAGGTGCAAAACTATTAAGAACAACAGCTGAAATTCAAGTGCATATATGCTGAGGTTTAAAGATAACTTTTTCCAAATATAGAAATGTATAAAAAAAATATATATATTGGACAGACTAAAAAACAAAGTAGATCACATAATTAGTACTCCCTCCATCCCAATTTAAGTGTCGTTTTGGATTTCGAGAGTCAAAAGATTTTCCTTTGACCATAGTTATTTCATATGTCTGTTAGATATTTTGAATTGTAATTATTTCCAAAAATGAAGAATCTATGCCTAAATTCACAGTCAAAATGAAGAAGTTTGACTATTCGAGCTCCGCCATATAAATTGGGACAGAGGGAGAGATTAAACAAAACTATGAACCTTTTCCTGATTCAGGAGTGACAATTCCTGCGCACTAGTCTAAACAAATAATAATTGATGACAAATTATAAGGAATACAAAATTACCCCAAAAAAGTCAAGTAAATAAACAGTAGAAGAGTCTACACAATACCGGCACGAAGAGCAGGAGTGTCTTTAGGAGTGGCTTTGAAGAGAACAAAAGAAGGATCAGTAGGAGAAGGAGGCAGGTAAGAACCAACTGCAACTTCTCGAGCAATGGAAGGCGGCGGAGGAGGAGATAAGACCAGTGGTATTACACAAAGTCCAACATTCATCAAATCTCTTCTAGATAGGGATAGGTCGATGTTGTTTTTCTTCAAGCTTTGCTGGGTTTTTGCAGATGTGAATAATGGTGGATTTGAATTTGAACTTGAATTTGAGAAGATAGAGGAGAATGGCTTCACTGAAGAAAGCGCCATTTTTGTGTGTCTGTGTGTGTGGGGAAAAACGCCTGTGGCAGAGGTTATTAGGTGGTTGGGGTTCCCGCTTTTATCCATTTGGGATGAGGTCTGACTTGGCGATATGTATTCTTGTGCTTTTCAGCCATTTTATTTGTTGTTGAAAAGTGAAAACAAAAACAGAAATACTCAAAAAACTCATTTTTTTCCTCCAAATTTTTATGTTATAAAAGATATAAAATTATTTAATTTTAAAATCTCAAATGATATTTGTTTGCAACAAATTATATGTGATACAAAAATAAATTGCAATCACAAAATAAATATGAAGAAACATAATTTTATTCATAAAAAGATACGGGTACAATCCTGTTTCTCCCTTGATTCTTCTCTCCTGATAATCTCCGTGATTCGAGGGCTGAAGCAGCATATTTCTCGAATGTAAGGATGATGCAGACCTCCTGGATGTATTTGATCTCCGGCTTCTTGAACTATTTCATTGTCAAGAAGTATCCGGCCATATTTTGGTCTCTTTGTGAGTATCCCATGAGTTTATGGGATTTTTGAGACACCTCTTCAAGGGAATATGCATCCCTTTATATAGGTGTGAGTTAGGGTTTAGGGTAGAGTAGCCTCCAAGAAACCCTAATAGACTCCTAATAGACTCCTAGGATTTCTAGAGTCCTGTAGTATCTTTAATTTAGGATTTGACTTGATCCTTAAAATTTCGATGTCTACAAATGCCCCCTACTTCAAGGTTTGTCGGGGTGTAGGCTTGCCGAACTTTAGACGAGACTTGAAGTACTCGACAATCACCACAAATGGTTTTGAAACTTGGAGTTTTTGATTTACAGGAGGAAGAGATGAAGGGCAGAACTGGTCCCACTGGGCGTGCCAATTTTTTCAATTTATTTTTCGGCTATTCAGTTTTTTTAAGAAAATACGAATCGAAGTTGTTCAAATATTAGTGTGTGTGTATATATATAAAATATTTTCCACCAACAACAAAGTCATGAAGAAACTCTTTGAGTAATCGTGTAATAGTACCAGCCAGTGACATATCCTTTTGTTGGAAACATATACTGGTATTTCCACACATAAATTGGAGAAAAGAGATAAAAATGGTGATAGCTATAATCTGTTACTGATTGTAATAAGTTCAATTGAACCAACACCAGTGAAATTCTTCTGGAGTTACTTCTGTATTTAAATATTATCAGCATTAGCATATAATGATTCAATAATTTGCACTGAATATCTTCCTACTACTTAATGTTGATTGACTACATTAAGTCTACAGAAAGAAATCACAAATCTGGACCTGTTCCCAGCAAAACATAATATATCACTGAGTAATCAATACTTCATTTGAAGGTCTCAAAATACTATACATTGATGAGAAGTGCTAATAGAAGGACCTGATATTATAGCAGATATGTCCATTCTGTTGTTGAGCAAATTGAAGGAAGAAATTTTCCATCTTTTAACCTACCAAATTAGCTACTACCACAAATTTAAGGCCCTATATCAGCAATTGCCGACAGGCATCAGCACATGGCTTCGCCTTAGGTGGTCCTCTTGTATATCAATTTAGCCATCAAAAGTCTCTATATTTCTGGTTCACTTTCTTGTTTCTGTTCTTCTAGAGAAACGACAATGCGAAGTACTAAGAAACTCATCAAGATGGCCAGGAGATGACAGTAATTCGCGACCACACAGAGAAAGAAAATTTCACTTCCAAGTAACAGCAGTGATGCAGACAGTAGTAGTACATCTTCATCCTCTATAGCTGGAAAAGGCCATATTTGTAGTATACTTAACCGACCAAAGGTGCTTTGCGCTTCCTTTGGCTTATCTTGAAAATGAGGTCATTAGTCAACGTTTAGACCTGTCTGAAGAAGAGTTTGGGCTGCCAAGTGGCGGCCCTATTATGTTACCATGTAATTCAGTCGTCACGGATTGCATCATTTCACTGATCAAGAAAGGTGTAGCTGCTGGAGATCTACACAATACATTGCTCCTGTCAATATCTTCATGTGGCTGTTCAGCTAATTCATTGCACCAAGATTGGAGAAACCAGCAGCTTCTTGTTTATTAAGTCACGATTATCATCTTTTGTAAATGAGAGCTCAATGTTGATTGTATAGCAGGTGAAAAGTAGGCAATTGAAATCATGTTTTACAGATAGAATAGTGCTGAAAACTAATCTGATTTACAGCTTTCAGTTTTCAACTTGCTTGGTGTTTAAGAACATCTATTATTCTCAACCTTTGGCTGGCACTATCAACAGGAACTTATTGCTAATCGTCGGAAAAAACTTACAGATGAATGAATCATGCATGTGCAAGTCTTAAAACATGAAAATAAACTCTAAAGAGTTCAAATGAAGCGAACACATAAACTACATTTTAAGTTCTGAAGATAATGCAAGCCTTGAGCAGCACCTGCTATCAAGATCAAGAGTTATGTAAGCTGATTATTAGTAGTCTTTTAATGGTTTAAACCAAAGAGGAAGAAATAGAAATTCATGTTAGGCTAGCCTCATCGATAAACACTTGCTCTTCTTCACGTATACAACATCAGAGAACTCTGCCAAGACTAGTGCACTGGACTTGTGACAATGGTCTCTGCCAAAAACAGATAGCATGACATAAGGTAAAGACACTCTTATCAAGATCAAGAGTTATGTAAGCTGATTATTAGTAATCTTTTAATGGTTTAAACCAAAGAGGAAGAAATCCAAATTCATGTTAGGCTATCCTCATCGATAAACACATGCTCTTCTTCACGTATACAACATCAGAGAACTCTGCCAAGACTAGTGCACTGGACTTGTGACAATGAGTACAAGTTCATTCATTTAACTCCATAAGCCCTAGAACAGATGTTCTTGGCTTGACTGCCACTTTCGAGAAGTTACTTCCTTCAATATAATTTTCTCTTAAATATTTGATTCTTCTTCGACGATCTTTTCACCTAAGATTGACTAAATGAGAGTGTGGCTGACATGGTTAAAAGGAAAAATCAGCCACCCTTTTCTGTATTTTTCATCATCATTCTAATTATTATTAGAAGCTCTAACAATGTTTGCAAGAATATAGAACATCCAACATCTAAAATGGTTAACAAAAAGTGCAGCGCAGAAATTTGGAAACATCCAAATTACAGACTAGCAGATAGACTCATAGTAAGAAACCAAAGATTTTCGAAACCTAGCAGATCAATCATATTAAGGAAACTCAATTAGAGAATCATGCATATTGCACTACTAGCTTCCATTTTTTGCCTGGACCATAGATGCTCAAAAATACAATATGAACAAATGTTGAACAAAAGATATGCTTTGGAATATTTCATGCAACTTTTTGATTTGCACAAGACGAAGCACAGAAAGATAATTATGAGATGCAGAAGAAAAATTCAAGAATCTGCAACAGAGCTTATTTTGAAATTCGACTAGCATTGCACATTGAACAATGAAATGGAATTACAAAACTGATGCCAGTCATCAATGGCCAAAACAATATTCAACACGTTGCCTTTCTTTGTAAGGAGTGTTAATAAACTATAAACATAAACAGTATATTTTTTTAAAACTAAAAGGGGCTGCACCTGAGATCATCTTGGTCACAGGCTGCCTACGTGCCCCCACAAACAACTTCTTAAGAGGGGATCAAGCCCGCACGTAGTTCTTAATTTACATTTATTACAAAACGATGTTTTATAATCAATCTATCTAATGTTGTCAGCAACGTTGCACGAGTTCCGGTTTCTAGTTTCTTCAGACTCTGCATCAATGTTCTACAATCAAATCGCGAATGTGTGGCTGTGTCTTGAATGCTGTCTTTCGATGGGGTCTGCGCAAAAGAGACATGTAACCACTTTGCTTCTTCCTTGCCTTTGTTGCAGGCTGGACATTTTCGGCTAATTTCAAAAAGGAGTGATTCAACAGCATGTCAGCTGTCCAACGCGAGCTCGGATTCTTGACCAGACAACTTCTCACAAAATCTTTTGCCTCTGCTGACAGTTTTGCATTCTCAAAATTTGGTTCCTCAGACCCAATCCGGCGTAACACATCATCAGTCTTAGCATCAGAATTGGATAATTCCCAGAGGGGTTTCCCAGTGATCAACTCGTACACAGTACAACCAAGAGCCCAGATATCCGCCTCTGGACCGTATTCCTGCTTAAGCACGGATTCAGGTGCCATATACCTTTTAGTTCCTCTCAATCCCTGCTTTTGCGTCCGGCTCTGTTCCAAAGTTATAGCGAGCCCGAAATCAGCGATCTTGGCAATCTCTGTTGTATCATCAGTAGGAGTAACAAGTAGGACGTTGTGAGGCTTTATATCACAGTGAACGATTCCCGCGCCGTGAATGCGACTGAGCCCTAAAACGACGTTTTTGGTGTGTTTTTTAACTTCCATCTCTGGCATTCCTTTACCTGAACAATTCAACCGATCAGCCAAACTTCCACCGGAAGCATATTCTAACAATAAGTTGTAGAGGAGTACACCGTCTTCTAACGTGACTTTAACACCAAAACACGGAATAACATAAGGAGAGTTTTCAAACAACCGAAGGAATTCCCTTTCATCTTGAAGTGACTGTGATCGACTCAACATGCAAGATTTTACAGCAATTAGTGATGGAATTCGACGATGATGAACAGTACCAGCGTAATCAGTAGTATTATCAATGGAAGCTAAAGAAACAAAGCCAAACCCTCCTTTCCCCAAGGTTCTCCCTCTCTTCCACTTAACTTCTACTTCTTCCGCCATTAGAACGAACTAGGTTTTGCTCCTGCAATTTCTCTCTCAGAATAATAAATTTGTGAATAATCGTTTGCTGCGTAGTGTACGTTGTTGTTGTAAGTATTTGTTACTACTTAAAATTTTGTTTTGTTTACCCAATTCCGCGTTTTAATTCCATTCCGTCTCCTCTCCTATTCAAACTTGGAGTACATTATTTGTTTTCCTATAAAAACAGGGGAACTAATTGTATTATTAGGAAACTTAATTTCCGATATTTCTTTTAGTATTCTGAACAGTTAACTTTAGGCGCAAGTGTAAAGCATATACTTTATTAGATTTAAGAAAATTATTTAGTACAATTGATAATATATCTTAATATTTTATTTCAGATATTTCTTTTAGATAATATTTTTTTAGAAATTAATTACTTATTGTTTCGAATTTTTCTTTTCGTTCCAGTTTATGAGTCAATTTGACTAATCTTTGAAGCTAAATTGGATTAAATTAACTTACTATTTTAAAGTTAAAATTTAGATATCCAAAAACTATACCGAAAATAATATAATTAAGTTGCAATCCTTCTCATATCAATATGATGAAAAACTATATTTCAAAATATTGGTCAAAATTTACATAGTTTGAATATCGAAAAGATTCATGTAAACTGAAATAAATGGAATACAATTTAGTGTTCTATTTTACCCCAAAATATGCATCTTTGTTTTTTTTTTTTTTTTTTTTTTTTTTTTTTTTTTTTTTTTTTTGTGTGCGTAAAATCAATTAAAATGTGAATACGCTTCCTCAATTAGACTAATATTATTAGGAAACTTAATTTCTTCTTTCCAGTTGGGCATAATATAGTGCGACCTCTGAACTTGACATATTTTATTCATTGCACTTTTGAATTACTTTTGGTCCTAATTTCCTATGAATTTAGCAGTTTGATAGCTTTTGCCCTCTTGAATACTGGCATGGCAAAGAGGATGGATACACACTCTTTTAGGCTCATGAAAGTGATGAGAAATAGAAAAATCAACATCCAAATGGAGTATTTTATTGTTACTCTAATTGTGTACTTTTTCTTACTTCTTCATAATATACCATACATATTTTACCTCTAGTTTACAATTTTTAATTTCTTCTTTTGGTGCAACGGTTTCTTTTACTGTGTATTTCTTCTCGAGTTAAATATGTATATAAAAATCCGAACATGAACTAAACAATCATTTTTAGCTAGATATAAAAATTTGCCACATAATAGTGTTCCAAGTATGTATTTTATTTTAATTTTTTGTTGGATGCAAGTTATTTCTTTCAACTGTATAAAAAGTCGTCAATTGTAAAAAAAAAAATGTGGCTAGAGAGCTCCATTATTTTTAATCAAATGCATTTTTTTAGCTAAAACAATGAAGCTCAAATTATAAAATTCTCTTTTTATTTCTAATTTACAACAACACAACAACAACGACTCAGTGAAATCCTACTAGTGGGATCTGGAGAGGTTAGTGTGTACGCAGACCTTACCCCTACTCCGAAGGAGTAGAGAGGCTGTTTCCGAAAGACCCTCGGCTCAAGAGGAAAATAAAGTGGAGATGCGGGGTAAATGCGACTTATTTTCTTTATTGAATGATTGGCTCAATAGCTTTCTTCCTTCAATTAGAAAAGAGGCTAATGGAAACTCAGGAACTTCACTCAGAGCTATTAAGCTCTTTGGGGTAGGGGTGGGCATATATCGGGTAAAATCGATAACCCGAACCGTTAATTGTTTATTGGGTTATCGGTATCGGGTTATTGGGTTAACGGTTCGGTAACGGTTTAGAATTTTTTTCACTATTGGGTTATCGGTTCGGGCCTCGGGTTGCCAATTTTGTTAATGGGTTAACCGACAACCCAATAAGAATTCATAAAATTACGACTTTACTCTTAAGTATATACATATGCTAGGGCTTCAGTTCATTCTCTCCTATTCTTTGTCAGTCGCACTCTTCAGTTGCTTCATCTTCATTATTCACAGACCTTACTAGTTACTCCTAGCGTAAGTCTTTAGTCTTATACATTAGGCTTTTAATTTCTATAGCAAAATTCATCTTCATATTGGTATTTTTGACTGTTAATGATTCTTTATTTTTTTATTTTCATTTCTTAATTTTGTGAGCTCACGTTGTGCATCCTATAACAACTACCAATTTCTCTTCGCACTTATCAATTCTCAATCGACAATCTTCGTACAGTATGCGAAGAGACTTACGCTAGGAGTAACTAGTGCGAAGCTTTGACAAGTGCGAAGAGAAATTGTACGCTAGGAGTAACTAGTGCGAAGCATACTGTTCCAAAGCTCAGCATAAGATTGTCGATTGAGAATTGATAAGTGCGAAGAGAAATTGGTAGTTGTTATAGGATGCACAACTACCAATTTGTATACGTTGTGCATCCTATAACAACTACCAATTTCTTTTCGCACTTATCAATTCTCAATCGACAATCTTATGCATCCTATAACAACTACCAAATACTGTACAGTATGCTGAGCTTTGACAACAGGACAACATTTTCTTGCCTTCTAGGTGTTTTTCATTTCTGTGTTAGTATTGCCCATGCACAGATCAAGGTTTTGCTCTATGTTTTCTTTTTTCAGGTTAGACATTTGACAAACAACATCAGTTTATCTTGGACTGTTAGTACTATATGTTTGGACTTCTTAATTTTAAGGTGAAACTGCTACTACTTTGTATTATTATTAATGGATTTTGACAACTGTTGTTGAAGAATTAGTACTATTCAAGTTGTGGCCACTAGACAGAACGCAGAAATGGATAGTATACCATATGTGATTTCTTATCTTTTTTGCTTAACTCCAGTGAATTGTCTTATCTTTTTTGCTTAACTCTAGATTGAATTATCTTATTGGGTAAACCGATAACCGAACCGATAATGATTGATAACCGATTAACCGATAACCGATATCTTATCAGTTCGGTTATCGGTTTATCAAATTTGTAAACCGATAACCGATATGCTAAACCGATAATATTCATAACCGAACCGAACTGACCGATGCCCACCCCTACTTTGGGGGAAGTCAGAAGTTCTTTACTATGTATCCCGACTATGGGATTTTAGTCAAATACAATTTTTAAGCCAAAATAATATATTTCGACTACGTATTTTTTGTATTTCATCTTCAGATCAATGATGATTTACTTCAATTGCGTTTTCTTTTTTCGGGTCAAATATATATATAAAAAATTGGGTTTATGTTTAGCTAGATTAGGTGGGTGGGGGGTGGGGGTGGGGGGGGGGGGGTTTCAAACATATTCCTTAAACCTTCTTTTGGAAATTAAACCATGACTGATCTTTCTATTTACATAATAGATTAAATTTAATTCTATTATCTTACAATTGGCCATAATTTCATAATTTGGTTTGTCCTCAAACTTACCACTGGATATACACCTAATTGGTTTTTCCTCAAATTTACCACATTGATGTACACCTTAGGGGTGTTCAAACCGAACCGGAAAACCGCACCAAACCGAAAAACCAAACCAAACCGATTAAAAAACCCGACTAGGTTTAGTTTGACTTGGTTTGGTATTGAGTAAAAAAACCCGAACCAAACCGACATATAAATATATAAATTTTATTTATATTTTTAAGAGTTTATAGTGATTTTTCTTTAGAAAATGTAGAAATATTTGAGATCCTCTCATGTATTAACTCTGAAAGCGTAAATTAACGAAAAAATATTGTTAGACGACTAAGAAAATAACTATCATGTGTTACTAAAAAAATTCTCCCAATAGAATATTTTAATAGATCATATGTTTGTCAATTTTTTTCCAATTTACTAAACATATATTCACTTATCAAAGCTTTATCTATAATTTTAACAAAGTAAGATTGAAATAATATTCATGTAATAAAAAAACCCGAAAAACCCGACAAAACCAAACCAATCCAAACCGATATAGTTGGTTTGGTTTGGTTTTGGTAAAAACCGAACCAACCCGGTCCATGTGCACCCCTAGTATACCTTAACATTTTCTGTGTGTGTAAACAATAAAAATGCCAATTATTTTATACCAAATGAGAATAAGGTCATTTTATTTATTTTTTTTAATTATTTTTATATTAAGGAAGACTAAAGAATAAAGATTAAAGCATATATAGCAACTCTCCTTTGTTAATAGGATTATTATTCTAAATCTCTTTTTCTATCCCATTTTTGCACGTTATTACTGGAGGTAAATACTCTTAACTCAAAGTTCAAAGGTCTGTCTAGACGTCTAGTAATTTCAATTCCTCTCTGATTTTTTTCCTGGGTAACAATTCAAAACACCGGAGCTATCTGCGTCGAGTATTTCGATTGAAAGAGGAAGGGAGACAACTCAAATGCCAGTACAGAAATAGATCCCCCTTCCCGGGCCGGGAAGAGAGCGAAAATGGACCACAGATGATAGTTGATTCGAAGATCTTACGCGGCGGAGTAAACTCTTCTATTGTGTTGCATTTTCTCTGGCGGACACCCCCCCCCCCCCCCCGACCAGTTATTATGAACTCAAATAAAATAAAAAAATTGGAGTAGCGTTAACAAAGAAGAAGGAACAGGTTAAAAGAAAGCAAATCTTTTCATTTTTCTTATAATTATATGATAATATAATATAAAAAGTAGTTTCTTATTATTATATATATGCGAGCTTGACCAGAAACCCTTCTTCTTGATCTGAGGTGCGAAGAGATAGATTTCTTTTTTATTACTTTGGCTTCTTCAACTAAGATAAACACCAATTTAGTCATATCACATATTAAAGCAGCTGAGATAGTACAAGCATAATACTTATCTACCCACGTAAATTCTACCAAAGAAAATAAATTAGACATGACAAAGGCCAATGTCTTAAATTTGAGACAAGAGTTTAACATTTGTAGGATAGACTTCGGCTTTGAGATTGGAAGCAAAAGCCTTATTAGCAAGCACAATGTTTACTGCTTCAGTTGGATGCAATCCATCAAAATAAACATATGCATTCCTCTTTGAACAAACATTTCCTCCCTCTTTGCATAAAGTTCCTGTTCCACCCACTTCACAACAAGGGTTCTTGGTATCACCA